GGCTGCCGCCAGCACCGGAACGCCGCAGTCCTGCTCTCCTGCCTCCAAAATCCGAGGACTACATGTTAGGCACCTTCCCGAGCCTCCAAACCCTGGCTGGGGACTGCGCCGGGGCCTCCAGTCCCCGTGGCTCTGCCGCCCGTGGCCACTAGATGGTAGCAAGCCCTGTCGGACGGAGCCGGGCTGCTGCTGCTGCTCCTGCCCGGTCCGGGGCAGCCCCTGGGCCGGTACCTGCGCCGGGTGGTCGCGGTCCATGCGGGGGCTGTGCCCGCATCACACCACCAGTGCATCCCAAAATCTGTCCAAAAATATTAACCATGCGTTTTACGCTTGTTTAGCGTGAGCGCCTTATGTGTGGATGCAGATGTGTGAGCACACGTGTCAGCATGGCTCTGGTGTGGCCGAGATGTTGTCTCTCTGTAACTTGTGTTTATGGAGATGATTATGCAAGTGACAGATTTTGCCCCGAGGGGGAGAGGAGAGGCCTGTAGATACTGAAATATTATGTCCTTTTCATGGCCGCAGGGTTGAGGCACGGTCTGGTGCACTGTAAAGCTTTTAGTATTTCTGTACTATTTATTTAAGCTCTAGGAAGCAGAGCTTATGATTTCATTTCATTACTACTTCACTTGTAAAAAAAGCAATATGGAATCCCATACTCTTTTTAAACCTTCTGGCCATTCAACATTAACGTCCCTACCAGGACTTCACAGCCCTGGGGGAGTGAGAGTTGACCAGGAGTGGAGTGGAGAGTTGACCAACTTCAAACAAAGTTATTATGGCAACTGAGTAGTTTCAGCTTGGGGAATATGACAGAGTTTGGTGCGTAAGCAGCAGCCGCTCATGTACCAGGGGTACATTTCTGTCGTGTCTGAAACACATGTAAAACAGTAAGGTCAGTATTCAGGATCTTACCCAAGGCCGAGCCTGGGATGGTGCAAATGCTTGTTAACTGCTATAAGTACTTGGGGAGTGAGGCTGCAGGTATGTGATTTTTCCATCTCAGCCCTGCGCTGAGGAGAACAACATGAGGAATGAGCTGGAGGGGTCCTAAGCCCTGTTCCATCATTTTAACTTAGTTTGGGCAACTGGTAGTGGCCTGGTGTTTCCGCAGGTAAATCAGAATGAAATCTTGGCCTCGAAGTGTTTAGGATGTGGATTTTTGGATGTAAAGCTAACTGCTGCATAGAGGAGAGAGAAGGGGATGATTGTGGGGTCAGAGGTTGACTTGGCTGACAGAGGCTTGCAACATGTAACGGCCAAGATTCCCTTACCTCTAGGCTTGGACACCAGCTGACACTTCCATTTGGCTTTTCCCACCCTTCTTACCCAAACTGTTCCCCTTAAATGTGTGTGTTTCTGAGGGGTGTGAAGCTCTGTGCCTCCATCCTCCTTGCTACCTGATTGCCGTTGTATGTGGACACTCCTCTCCCCTTGCAAGGCTGGAGCAGGAGACCATTCCTGTGTCACAGAGAGCAGATGGGTGCAGAAGCAGTGATGCACCTGAGGTCCTGCAGCCCTGTGTCATGCTCTTATCCTGAGTCCCAAGGCAAGCGTCTTCAGTCCTTGGTTGACATTTCTCACTTGCCAAGGCCGTTGGTGTGTGCACCTTTGGAAACATCCAGAAGTAGGTGCATGCTTTGGGACAGCAGCGCTAGCTGGGCTTTGTTATTGGGCTGTTCTCTGACTGCAGTCAGCCTCCTGGAAAGGACTAATCACCCCACTGGTGTGCCAGGCCGTTATCAGTCCTGTCGGGGCTGGAGGAGAAAGGCTGAGAGGTGTCTCAAAGCATACCCATGTTGTTTGTCAGCCTGGTGGCTTTTCCTCCTGACACTGATATTTGGCTTGACAGACGTAGCCAGAGACCTTAACCCCCGGCTGGACACGTGTTGAGAGAAGCCCTGCTGCGTCCTCGTGTCTCTGGGCCTGGGTGGCTCAGCCTGCTGCAGATTACCCTCCTGGCTCAGCTGTACATCTGTTGGCTCCGATATTGATATTCAGGCTCAGCCGGCGGCTAATCCTGGGCATTCCCTGGACTGGAAGGGGAAGGCAGAAGGACCCTGGTGGGCAGGTGCAGGATAGCTGTCTCCCATACACCTTTTATTACCTTCTTCTGTCCTGCAGAAGGCAGGCAGATGCCTGGGCCACTTTGGATACGGTTAGCTCTTGAGGACATGTCTCTTCTAATGCTGTGCTCTTCTCTTTTAGTAAATGGTGTGCATTACCCCAGGGGAAAAGGGGAGTGAGCTCAGCATGGGAAAGGAAAGGTCTTTGGAGCAATGGAGCTGACGCTACCAGCCATCCCAGTCTTTTCTCCCGCCTGCCCTTGGCAGGCTAGGGAAGAGGGAGGCGGGGTAGCCTTGCAGATGACAGTGCTCTTCAAGAATCTCCTGCCATGCAGCTTGACACTGTCTCTGGGTCCTTGGGAACCTGGGACAGGCTCCTGGCACTGTGTTTCAGCAGTGCCCTTTCTGTCTAGAGTGGGATATGTGCCAGTCCAATACGAAAAGCAGAAATTATGCCATCAGTGGCACCCACAATAGCACCTGACCCAAAATAGCTTCCTGGAAAAAAATAGGGAGGCTGATTAGGTTAGACAAGCCTGAAAGAGAGCAAGATGTCCAGCTGACGATTAACAGGTGTAGGTCTGGAAGCAGGGTCTATAAATCCCACGGGTGAGCTCTCCAGCCACCCTTTGGAGAAAGACAAACGGCTGCAGGGAACACTCGGGACCTGCCTTCGGTGAACCATGGGGCTCAGTGATCAGGAATGGCAGCAGGTCCTGACCATCTGGGGAAAGGTGGAGTCCGACCTCGCTGGCCATGGGCATGCCATTTTAATAAGGTAGGCAAGAAGCTTCCATCCTAAGAGTAAAGCTGAGAGCTTTTTGATGAGACACTAAGGACAGTGTATGTGGGGGCTCATGTTTGGCAGTGTTTATTTCAACAGGTTGTTTTCTTTGTTGTAGGGTGGTGGTTTTTCCATTGTTATGGATTTTGGGTTAAAAATTACTCACTGTGTAAAGTGGCTGTGCTTCTGTCTCTCCACCTGTCTATGGGTGCAAGAGCAGGCCAGTGCTGCTTTTGTCACTACCTCTGCCTCTGCTGACAAAGCTCTGCTTTGGATCCTCATTGCCCAAGCACTGTGGTGAGAAATGCTGGAGCAAATTTTATGTCCTGGGCCTTCAGATGCTCTGTAGCAAGGATGCGGAGAGGCAGGGAAGGAGAGGAAAATCACCTCTGTGACAATTTTCTCGGAATCTATTATTTCAGTAAAATTAACTGTGAAATACCTGACTGTTTCCCTCTTCCCACCTTAGCCTCACCTGGCAGAGTCCTGCCCATTCTGCTTTTTGACCAGAAATCTGGGTGGTAACACTTATCCACTTACTGATGATGAACTTGAGGTCTGGGTGTGAAAGGAGGCACATCCTTCCCCCTGCTTCCCTCCTCCAGGATTCTGATGTCAGAGTGGGAGTGCTGGCAAGGTCTCCATCCAAGATGACCCCTACCCCCATGCTGTCCTTGCAGTCCTGGACCCCCAAGTGGGGAACATCCCAGCAGCAAGTCACAGAAATGCAGTCTGGAAGGTATCTCATTGCTACAGAGTGGGAAATAACATTGGGTGGGCAGTGGATCCAGCCTGCCCTTAAAGGCCAGCAGGAGTAGAGACCTGGCAGACACTCTCTTCAGATCTCCCCCTCAGCCTGTGCTCAGTACGATGTGCTGGGAGGGTATGGACACTGAGGAGAGCAGTGGGGATGTGGCGCTCGCTCCAGGGAGAAGTTCCTATCTTAAGCATGGCTGAGGGAAGGAGCCCACACCACCAGGCAAATCCACTGTCCATTCAAAGCTTCTTCAAAGATGAGCCAAAGCAGGGAGCTGTTTTATTTACCTTCTTTATCATGGCCCAATTCAGCTGCCATTTGAAGGGGAGGGAGGGATGGGGGCAGCCTGGTGGCAATCTGGTGGCTTTCCCCTCATGCAGTCTAGAGCAGGCATGCTGGAGGGCTACTTGATGTAGCCTGTCTGAGATGGCTACTTTGTCTCTGGAAGTGCCACAAGACACTGAAAGCATTTTCCAACTGAAAAGGTAATACCATTTTTCTTACAGGTATCACAGGGCAGAGTATGTCATTAAGTAAATAGATGACACCCCTCTCCCCTGTGACTTCGTGCTCCCTAGCCAACTCAGGTCATTTCTTGTTCCTTCAACGGGTTTCTGAGGGAGGAGAGAGGCAGAGGAAGCCCAGCAGCTCTTAGTTTAGAAATGTGTCCATGTGTGCATTGTTAAAGACTTCTCAGGTAGATGTCATATCCTGGGAATATGTTTAGAAAATACTGATTCCACTGGATGTTTTCTAAAGGAAACAAAAAACCACTCTTTTGAAGAATTTTCAAGAGTCTTGGGAGTGTGTAATCTTTGGGAGACATGATTCAACCATAGCCAGACACAATGGAGGCAGATTTTTAGAAATAACTCCATCCCATTTCAAGGTGCAAGGTTTTTTAATCTCTCTGGGTAGGACAAAACCTGTGTCATGGCAAGATACAGGAGAAAAGGAAAGGCCCATAGTAGTGTGCTCAGCATCTGGTAGAGTATAGGATCCTTTGGAGACCTTTGACATGGAACGCCAGCAAAGACTAGTCACTTATTTACAGAATCTTTTTGCTGCAGAACAGCTTGTGTTTTCCATGTGCTTGAGGTATTTGTTAGCGTCATTGAAGCTATGCTTACATCATACAGTGGAGAGTCTGGACCTCATGGCAACATACTTAAGAGGAATGTCCAGTTCTAGATGGGATGCAAGCCCCAGTAGTCCCAGCATCCTTCTGAGGGGAGAGCAAGTGTGCAACCACTATACCATGAGAGGGAGGCTGGTTCTGTGGCTGAGGTCCCCATCTGGAGTGCCAGACACTGCTGCAGGTAACTTGGGTGAGCGGCTTCATGGGTGTCGGCTGCAGGACCTTGGCTGTAAAGACACCTGTTGCTTTTGCTGCTGCTTCAACTAGTTGGACTATGCCCATCAGAGGGTATAATACCTGAAAATAAACTTGTTCAAGGGAGCTGATGTCTCTCAACACCTAATTATTAGACTGCTCCTAATAACCTGGACAGGCAGAGTCCCCTTTTCACCCCTGCTCTATGACTCTGGCATGGAAAAGAGTGAAATTTCCTACTAGTTTTGTTGTCAGTGGTGTCTGCATCCTGTCTCCTAGGAAATGCAGCAGGGAGGAAGCAGGGGGGACAACACCAGCCTGGCTTTTAGCCACCCTTCCACCTGCTTGATTTCATTTGCATTTTGGGATCGGAGTGCCTGTGTATAGCAATGCGTGGCATGGCACCAGCAGGAAGGTCCCCTGCTCTTGTTACCCACTTGCTCTCAAGGACTCTCAGAAGTACTGCAGTTCCCCATGGAGGAACCACAGTGCTCACAGCTGGGATGGGCTGGGGAACAACCTAACAGAGAAAGGATGAAAAACACTGAAAACAGATTCAGAGTAGGGTCAGGTGTTTCCCTGGCTTATATACAGGCTAAAAGGAGTGATTGTGGATGGTGGTAATTCGGAGAAGATCTAAAGCATCAGAGTTCCCAGGTTAAAGTAGCCTCTACTAGCAGGCACTAGGTAAGAGAATTCTCTGGGGAGGGAAGTGTGTTATCACAGCCTTGCCTGTCCAAATACTCTGCAGTACCTGGAGCTGTTGTACCTCAGCTCTGGTCTGGATGCCAGCTCTCTGAAGTCTAATAAGTCCTTCCACTTTTGTCCACAGGCTCTTTCAGGATCACCCTGAGACCCTGGATCGCTTTGAAAAGTTCAAAGGCCTGAAGACCCCTGATCAGATGAAAGGCTCTGAAGATCTGAAGAAACATGGAGTTACTGTCCTTACGCAGCTGGGCAAAATCCTGAAGCAGAAGGGTAATCATGAGGCAGAGCTGAAGCCCTTGGCTCAAACCCATGCCACCAAGCACAAAATCCCTGTCAAATATCTGGAGGTATGCAAAAGAGCAGGGAATTTTCACGTCTGATGTGTAGTGAGTGTGTGCAAGACAGCTGTTGAGAGTTGCACTTTTACCTACTGATGGCTAGTTGGACTTCAGTGAGCTCTCCCTCAAGTCTGAAGTCTCTGTGTACAGGCATAGAAAGGGTTCATGGTATCTGAATGGTATGTGATTAGATATCCCGATCCAAACACCACATGCAGTCTGAGCAACCCGTGACAATAATAAACCAGTCCACGCAGCCTGTGTGTGCCTGGGAAACTACATTACATAAGAACTGTCATTGGCTGGACACAAGGGACATACAATTTTAGAGTAAGCCCTAGAGGATCCATTGGAGACCAAGACCCACAAAACTAAGTGCTGTACAAACACAGGGCATGAATTTTCATCTTTAATGCATGAGGCAGACAAAGAGTGGGAAGGGCCACGGTCTACTCAAGGTCATAAAGCAGATCAGCATCAGAACTAGGAACAGAGCCCAGTTCTTCTGACCAGCCCGGGCTCCTTGCATGCTAGACCTCACTGTTTCTCCAGGGACTGCGGGAAGGGCTACTGAATTAGCTCAGAGATATTTCCAGGCTCTGCAACCTATTTCTTAGACTGGCTTTTTTGAAAATAAACCTTGACTGTCCCTTCTGTTTTTCTTCCTCTCTTCACTTCCTCACAGTTCATTTCTGAAGTAATTATCAAGGTCATTGCCGAAAAACACTCTGCAGACTTTGGGGCTGATGCCCAGGCTGCGATGAAGAAGGCCCTGGAGCTGTTCCGAAATGATATGGCCAGCAAGTACAAGGAGTTCGGTTTCCAGGGTTAGCACATACGCACGGAAGGACACCACGACGGAGGCCTGGCCATGCATCTTAGAGTAGCTTCCCCAGCACTGTTTTGAACATCTCACAACTGGCTGTCCAAGATGTATGGGAAAGCTTTGATGAAAGGCCAAAAGTCACTCCAGGCAGTGTAGAGGCACCTAGAGTGATACCTGTGATAAACCATTGTTTCCTGGCTTCATATATACAAGAGAAATAATCTGCTTTCTTAGGAAGAATAATGTAAGGGGTTATCTGTGAGCTTCTGCCTATCCTATTCCCTTTTTCTTTCTCCCTCCCTGAAACCCAGTCTCATCCAAGAGGCGAATGGCATGGCCAGAGATGAAAGGATGTGGAGGAACAAGGGGAGTGTTGAAGAGTGTGGTGAATGAAAGAGTGAAGGCATGACTCAAATGGTATGAAAGGGATGTCATGATGGGAAGTAGGGGCACAGTGTCCCATTCCTCCCACAGGTGAGACTGTTAGCAGGTCACTGTGAACAGCTTCCAGCATGGTATTACCTTGATTTGTGAGTTTGAACGCAACCTGTCTGTCTCCAGGGTCTGCCAGCTTGGAAACTTGCATTAGTTGCTAAACTCACTTTCGCAAAACTATAAAGAGCAGTACTCCCTGCAATCTGTAGGTTTCTGGCAGCCGCTACTATGCTTCTGAAGTTCTGTTGCACTGGGAGGAAAGTATGTGTTTCTCAGAAAAATAAAAATTCCCACACCAGTGTCTTGTGTTGGCTCCTGGCTTTACAGGCACTCCACTGAGAAGCAGGGGAGATGGAGAAAGCAGAAAAATGTTTTGCATATGTATCCATCTGCACTGCAACTTGCAGTGCCAGTCCATGACATTGAGCAGCGTGTGGCATCTGTCTGAGCCAGGGGACTCGGGGTGCTTGGATGTCACCACGAGGTCATGACCTGGCTACTGAATTTCACAATGCAAAATGGCAGCTTAGACTCAGTGCCTCAGAGCTGAGAGAAGTGCTCCCTGACTAAAGGCCATGGCCACCGCTGTGCTGGGAGGGGAATGTGGTGAGGGAAGGCCTTTTACTTATTTACTGGGAGGTAGCATGTGCAAGCAGCTTCAGGTCGCAGCAGCAGCACAGAGCATTGCTCCCTCCAGGCAATGGAAAGCAGGGCTGCTTAGCCCAGAAGGAAGGTTGCAATGGCAGCATATGCTCTTAAGACCCAAGCCTTGATCTCTGTACTGTTTTGCACTTCTGTTGATGTGTCTCTGCAGTGCGTCCTGCACTGTGTTTACAGATAGATATGCATGTCTTCTGAGGGAGCTTAAGGGACAAACAGAGCAGCATGGCGCCCACCTCTGCCCGCTCTCCTCTCCCCATTCTGGTACCACAGTGAGGTACAAGTGACCCGATTTTACTGAGTGGGGGACAGGCTGAAGGCCACATTGTGCCTAAGCTGCCCAAGGGTTAGTCAGAAACGGTTGGAACCTGAAAAGGGGTTTTGAGTGCAAAGTCTTGACCTGACATGCAGGTTCACAGCAGACTAGCTGACTCTTTGGGAATTGTCCAGTTTCTCTGGCTGGATCTAGCCACAGGGGCAGTTGCACCCTACAGTGAGCACTGGGTTCCTCATTCCCTCCTCTTCCTATGTCCCTATCATCCAGTTCAGCATGTCAGCAGTAGGGTGCTGCAGTCTCTTCTGGCATACATGTTCAAGCTGTCTCCATGCAGAAAGCAAGGTAGATGAGCAGCTTGCTGTCCTTCTGTATATTTGCACAGGGTCGAGAGCATTCATGGCAGTGCCACATCTTGGCACAGCAGCAGGATGCTACAGAGGCAAGCAGCCGGGTCCTGCCTAGGGAAATGCGTGGAGTCAACACGGCTGCTCTTTTCCAGTATGGAGAAAGTAATGCACCTTATCTGACAGAGATAGTGTGAGGGCAAGCATGAGAAAGAAAAACGAGGTGCTCAGTACTAGGAGCTACCAGCAAGGATGGGTTCAAAGCACTCCCTGCTATCATGTATGCAATGGAGACAGGAGGAACCACCAGCTCCCTTACAAATCAGTCCTGAACCAGTGTGATCCGCTGTGTCTTTCGTGGGGGCAAAGGCCATGAAATTTCAGTCTCTGAAAGGAGAGGGAATGAATTCCATCCCAGAACAGAGCATCTCTGATTTCTTTCTCTTTACAAATCCTCACTTTACCTCTGGGAGCTTGCTTGAGGTTTCAGCCTTTCAGAGAGGGTCACAAAAGCATATGCGGTCACCTAGATGAAGTTACAGCCAGGTGGTCCCTGGCTTAACCAACTTGCTTTGTCAGACTCCAGTCTAGTCTGTCTGGCTTTGCAGGGAGGGCAACCTATCTAATTAAGGTCTAGGGTTGCCTGTCCATCACAATAAGATTTCCTGCCAGCGACAACAGGCTCTGCTTTAGGATTAAAAGCTCTGCTACGGCAGCTGCCTCTGTCAGTCTGAGTGGGACTGGAGTCATCTCTAGATATTTTTATGTAATGCAATATGGTGGAGGAGGGAGGGTTTGCATATATGTTGTGTCTAGCTACCGGCTGTTAGGTACCTGGAATAATAAATGTTGGTCTGTTGGGAGCACTGGCCCTTTGCTCTGCCTGCCTTACCCCCTTGTGTCAGTGCACTAGGGACCATCCTTAAACCTGTGCTGGTCAGGTGTTGGGTCTGATGTAGGCTTTCTGGTTGTGCCTATGGCTCAGTGAAGATGTGCAAACTGAGGTGAAACAGCAAGTTCAGACACCAATAATAGTGGAGCTATCACCAGCAGGCTCAGTGGGTTGGGATGCTTGTGGTGAAATCCACAGGTCTGCACCTTTGCTACGCTGGGTACCGAGTATGTCCTTGGCTGCACTCCTGACATAGTGTTAGCGATATATGTAATTCCCACACAGTGAGTCTATAAAGCTCTTGCAACAGCCCCTGCTTTGGGGACAGGGGAAGTTTCCAAGAGGAAAGGGTATGGTGGGGAAACAATTTTTGAGCTCCTTGCTATATTGATTCAGCATTTGTGTTGGGTCAAACTTTTCACTGTACTACTAGCATATGTAGCTTTTTTGGTTCATGTATGGGACAAAGTCCCTTAGTGGAGATAAACCGTATCGGCATAAGCCCAGAAATTTTCCAGGAATAGCTTTACCTAAGGAGGATGGGCCCCAGTGGCTTGTGCCCATCCCCCCTCCCTGTTAGCACCATTTGGTGTCACATACACGGTCCTGGTCACACAATGGGATGTGGCTTGTGTGGCTGCCAGCCTTCTTGCTCTAGCACGTCCACACTGATTACATACAGGTCAGGTTTATGGCTGTCCTATGTTTTCCCTGCAGTCCTGCAATTTATTTTATGCTAATAATGGTGTTTCTAGCAGTAGGGTTGAAAATCATCCTTGCTGCTTTGCACTTGATGTACTTCTCCCACTGTTGTGGTTTCCATTGCATGGCACCGAGCCAATGACTTGGCTGCTTTCTCTTGGGCTTCTGTGTCAAATGCCGGTGACTCATCAGGATCTCAGGCACAGGGAGCAGGACCTTGCTTCCCAGGCATTGTGCAAATGAGCCAGTCAGCCCCAGCCAGGGTGTAAAAATTCTGCAGGGTGAGCTGCCTGTCCCCCTTGTCTTTATGTCTGCCTGCTCATCCTGCCTGGCTCCAATACACCTGCCAACGTCAAGTGGCATCAAGGTGCAAATGCTGGGGACCATACTATTAATCCTGGGATCTGTCCCTTGGTCACCTCAGTGGGAGAAATGGATGGGGCTCCAGTGACTCATTATGTTAAATATTTAGCACATTAGCATGAAGCTTGTAGCATTCTTCATGTCTGCATCTCTCTGCAGGGCTAACATGAGGAAAGAGCAGGGAAGTTTCCAGTCCACATCATAGTTCATGAAAGAAATATGTCTGCTTTCTGTGTATTGAACCACAAACAGTGCCTAAAGGATGTGATGTCTATATGACACTGCAATTTAATAAGCAGACTCAAATCCTCATCTATACCACATGTTTTCAGATGAGTATTATTTTTACCATGAGCCCTATGTTTTCTGCCACCTGGTCAAAACCTGCCCTTTATGTTATGCCACTGAGGAAAATAAACCAGTGGTGGAGCCAGGTGTTTCTTTGATATAGACTTGCTTGCCCATGATGTTTTTTCCAGAAGGTACGTGGCACCAGAGCATGTCTTCCTCCTTCCTGGATTCACTCCTCTCAGGGTAGCACAAGGCTGCATCCTTTGCTTCTTCAGGCTGCACAGGGCTTAATAATCAGAGTCTGTCCTGTATCTCAAACTGAGCACACACACACACATGGATATCTATACGCAAGCACCAGGTTCTCAACATCACACCATTAGCAAAGCCCCTCTGTCCAAATCCTTCAAATTCCAGCATGCTTGTGTGTGAGCTGGTTCTTCATTTGAAAGGATGATATATATTAGTTCTCACATTGTGCTTAAATGAAGTATGGCTGTGAAACCAAGTTTTGGTAAGGTCTAACTAAGTGAGAAGACAGACTGTACAAGGACATGGCACCAGGAGAGTACTGGTAAGTAGGGGGGTGTTAATTTCACAAAGGTGTGCTGGGAGAGTCAAGGAAGCCACCTGGAACTACTGTAAGTGAGAAGAGAAACCCTAGTCAGCCTCTTTTATCCAACAGGCTAATTAGCATTTATGAATATGAAAGGGTCACAACAATGCAGCCTTCTTGACCAGCACATAAATCCCTCCCTCCCCTGTGACTGTAGGCACAACAAGCCCATCTCCCAGTCCTGTGACTTCTATAAAATCCTTATCCAAATGTCAGTAAAGGTGACCTTGTGGCTTTTTAAAGCAGTACTTTATAGTCACTTGGCTGCACTGTATCAAACTTTTTTTCCCAGTTTGGCTTTCATCACCCGTAAATATACAAACAGAATTGGCTGCTTCTACCTTACCCCTGTGGTAAGCTAGGTCAGCCAGAGGGGCTCTGGGGGTAAGACAAGCCCTGGCACGGGGCACACCAGTGTAGCTGGTAGCTGGGTGGACTAGGCGATGTGTATTTGGGATGGGGAAGGTATTGGAGTCTCCGTTCCTCCCCCCATGTCGCACAAAAAGCATTTCATGCTGAGAGAAACAGCAGTTCTGTGTCCCTGAGCCGCCCAAATGGTCACTTGGGTTATGCCCATGCCAATGCAAGTGCTGTGAGGTCAGTGGGGACAGCCTGGATGTCAGGCTATTCCACTTCATTTAAGGTATTGTCACAGAT